GATGGACACGTGGGCGTTAGGAGCGTGTCTAGGGTGGAATATACAAGCACGTCGCCGCTGAGACGAGGATGGCGTGTGTCTGAAACGTGGGCGAGCTGGAGAGGACGTGGGCGCTGCGGACTAGGGATGGGCGTGCAAAAGTCCAGTAAAAGCTTGACTGAAAGACTGATGGAGGTGACCGGCTTAAAATTGATGAATTAATAGGGTTATTGTTAACTGAAATTGTCTGTTAATTGTTAATTTACGAGAAGAATTAAATGACTTTAAAGATTGAATTCAGTGCAATTTAATTCATAATGTAGTTTGACTTAATTTATAGCGTTTGATGCATAAGCGTTCTTCTTATTTTTCGTCTTCTTTTTCTTCGTATTCTTCTTCGTCTTCTTCTTCTTCTTTCTTCTTCTTCTTCTTCTTCTTCTTCTTTTATTTTGTCCTATTTATTTCATTTTTATTTTTTTCTTTCTTCCCTTTTTTACGGATGTTAACGATATGTGGGAAGGAAATATAACCTTGAAGAGATTAAACCGTCTTTAAAACTTTATTAAAAGATAAGATTGTTTATTCTTCATTGCGCATCCTCCGTTCGTTTGTAAATACGATAAAGCAAAAAATAAAAAAAAGGAGATGAGAAAAACAAAGAAAAAAGGGAGAAGAATAAGCAAGCAAAGAAGGAGAAGGAGGAATAGAAGAGGATATGACATCAGCATGACTCGTAATTTATGCATGTCACACTCTTGTAGTGAAGGACGCCTTGGCAATTTCTGGAACAGACGGTATTAGTGTTATATATTATTTGTCTTTTTTAGCTATTGTTTTTTTTTTTTTTCTTTTTTGTTTTTATTTGTTAATTAGTAAGTGTTATTAGTGTGGATTCACTTTTTTTTTTAGCATTTTCCTATTTTTTTGGTCGGTTAGTTGATTAGTCAAATAGCTGCTAGATTATTGTTGTTGTTATCATCATCATCATCACCATCATCATCATCACCATCATCATCATCATCATCATCATCATCATCATCATCATCACCATCATCATCATCATCACACCATCAGTAGTAGTAGTAGTACTATTATTATTATTGTCATTATCATACCATCATCAGTAGTAGTAGTAGTAGTACTATTATTATTATTGTTATTATTGTCATTATCATTATCGTAGTTATTTCTTATTATCATTATTATTATCATTATTATCATCACTCTCCCATATTAACCTTAAAACACGTTCTTTCATCCCAATTGTGTTGTTGCCGAGCGGTTAATGAACCAGCTGATAGAATTTTCGACTTTTCTCGTTTAACACTGTGTCTAGAAAGCATGTCTAGCCAGTGCTTCCTCCGGCGTTTGTCTAAGAATGTCTGGCTCTGTGTCTAGTGCCACGTCGGATGCCTCGCGATCGGTGGCACCATTTCATTCACGTCTCTCTCATTCCTGCCATTCTTTTTTTTCTCTTTTTTTATGTCCCAGGATAGAAGGGGAGAATTAGAGATAGGTTTTTTTTTTTTTTTTTTTGTCCCAGGATAGGAGGAGATTTTTTAGGATAGGATAGGATAGGATATTTTTTGTCCAGGATAGAAGGGGAGAATTAGAGATAGGTGATTTTTTTTTCTTTTTCTTTTTTTTGTCCCAAGATAGAAGGAGGAGAATAAGAGATAGGTGAAGAAGAGGGTGGGATAAGCCCAAGGACGGGAGAGATGAGGGGAATGGAGAGCGATGGTAAAGATTTAGGCGTGTGTATAAAGCAAGGAATCCTTTTTTTCATCTTTTATTTTTTCTTCTCTTTCTCTTTATCCTGCCTCTGCTTCTGGGTCTTTTTCTTTTTCTCACTTTTCCTTTTTTTTTGTTAGCGATGTCTTCTCTCTATCCTACTTCTGCTTAAGCATCTTTCATTTTTTTCTCACTTCTCCCTTCTTCTTAACAGTAACCAGATTAGCTTTTTTCTTTATTTTTTTTCTTTTTTTTACTTTTTTAGCCTCTTTTTTTTTTTCTTTTTTCTTCTTTCTTTTACTCCCACTTACTAGCCGTTTAAGAAGCCCCATTTCCTGCCTCTCAGCATCCCAATTAGAACATCTTATCCCGAGGTCCATTGGCTCTACGGGCGTGCATTGCCGGCTTAGAAAAGGGGCGTATGCACAGCTGCAGCCTTGGCATCGTTCCGTCTTTCAGCACTTGGCTTTTAACTCGTTTGTAGGTCAATAGGTTATCTCCGAGTAGTTGGTTGGTGTTGGTGTCGGTGTCTGTAAAGGATGGGGAATTGTTAGTTGTTTGTGGGATGGGTATTGCTGGGTTGTTGTTTATAGATTATTGTTGGGTTGTGTTGTTTAATGGTTGTTATTTTCTCGATCGTTTTGGTAGGATGGGAATTAATGTTGGTGTTGTTGTCGGTGTCTGTAAAGGATGGGGGTGTTGTTAGTGTTGTGGGGATGGGTATTGTTGGGTTGTGTTGTTTATAGGTTGTTGTTTTCTCGATCGTTTTGGTAGGGTTGGAGTTAATGTTGGTGTTGCTGTCGATGTCTGTAAAAGATGGGAAGTTGTTAGTGTTGTGGGGATGGGTATTATTGTTGGGTTGTTGTTTAATGGTTGTTATTTCTCGATCGTTTTGGTAGGTTGGAGTTAATGTTGGTGTTGATGTCGGTGTCTGTAAAGGATGGGGGTGCTGTTAGTGTGTGGGGATGGTTTATTGCTGGTTGTTGTTTATAGGTTGTTATTTTCTCGATCGTTTTGTAGGATGGAATTAATGTTGTTGTTGTTGTCGGTGTCTGTAAAGGATGGGGTTGTTAGTGTTGTGGATGGGTATTTTGTGGGTTAGTTGTTTATAGGTTGTTATTTTCTCAATCGTTTTGGTAGGGTTGAAGTAATGTTGTGTTGTTGTCGGATCTGTAAAGGATGGGGTGTTGTTAGTGTTGTGGGATGCTGATTATTGTTGGGTTGTGTTGTTTATAGGTTGTTGTTTTCTCGATCGTTTTGGTAGGATTGAAAGTAATGTTGTTGTACTTATCGTTACTAGTGTTATCATTGTTATTGCTTTTATTACCATCATTATCGGTAGTGTGAAGTAATTCGACTAAGTACCCGCTCATGCTCATTTCGACGTCATTTTAGCTCATTATCATTAGCTCCAAAACCACCCGCTTCCTCATCTCTTTAATTACCCATCGCCGAGCAAACCCATTAAACACATTCTCCTCTCTTCTCTCCCTAATTATCCTACTTCCTCTTGTGGATCTTTTCTTTTTCTCTCTTTTCCTTTTTTGTTAGCGATGTCGTCTCTCTATCCTACTTCTGCTTCTGCATCTTTCTTTTCTCACTTTTACCTTCATCAACTCAAACCCACTCTTTACACTCGCTCCCTTTCTCTCCCTCCCTCTCCACAGAGCCCCATCATCACCACTCTCTCCTCTTTCTCTCCCTCCCTCTCCACAGTGCCCTACTCATCACACTCTCTCCCTTTCTCTCCACAGAGCGTCTCTCCTCCCTCTCCACAGAGCCCCACTCATCACACTCGCTCCCTTTCTCTCCCTCCCTCTCCACAGCGCCCCACTCATTTACACTCTCTCCCTTTCTCTCCCTCCCTCTCCACAGAGCCCCACTCCCACTCTCTCCCTTTCTCTCCTCCCTTCCACAGAGCCCACTCATTTACACTCTCTCCCTTTCTCTCCCTCCCTCTCACAGAGCCCCACTCATTTACACTCTCTCCCTTTCTCTCCCTCCCTCCCCACAGAGCCCCACTCATTTACACTCTCTCCCTTCTCTCCCCTCCCTCTCCACAGAGCCCACTCATCACACTCTCTCCCTTTCTCTCCCTCCCTCTCCCACAGAGCCCCACTCATTTACACTCTCTCCCTTTCTCTCCCTCCCTCTCCACAGAGCCCCACTCATTTGCACTCTCTCCCTTTCTCTCCCTCCCTCCCCACAGAGCCCCACTCATTTACACTATCTCCTTTCTCTCCTCCCTCTCCACAGAGCCCCACTCATTTACACTCTCTCCCTTTCTCTCCCTCCCTCTCCACAGAGCCCCACTCATTTACACTCTCTCCCTTTCTCTCCCTCCCTCTCCACAGAGCCCCACTCATCACACTCTCTCCCTTCTCCCTCCTCTCCACAGAGCCCCACCATTTACACTCTCCCTTTCTCTCCCCCCTCTCCACAGAGCCCCACTCATCACACTCTCTCCCCTTTCTCTCCTCCCTCTCCACAGAAGCCCCACTCATTTACACTCTCTCCCTTTCTCTCCCTCCCTCTTCCACAGAGCCCCACTCATCACACTCTCTCCCTTTCTCTCCCTCCCCTCTCCACTCAACACTCTCGCACCCTCTTCCACAGAGCCCCACTTCATTTACACTCTCTCCCTTTCTCTCCCTCCCTCTCCACAGCGCCCCCACTCATTCACACTCTCTCCCTTTCTCTCCCTCCCTCTCCACAGAGCCCCACTCATTTACACTCTCTCCCTTTCTCTCCCTCCCTCTCCACAGAGCGCCCACTCATACACTCTCTCCCTTTCTCTCCCTCCCTCTCCACAGAAGCCCCACTCATTACACTCCTCCCTTTCTCTCCCTCCCTCTCCACAGAGCCCCACTCATTTACACTCTCTCCCTTTCTCTCCCTCCCTCTCCACAGAGCCCACTCACACACTCTCTCCCTTTCTCTCCCTCCCTCTCCACAGAGCCCCCACTCATTTACACTCTCTCCCTTTCTCTCCCTCCCTCTCTACAGAGCCCCACTCATTTACCTCTCTCCCTTTCTCTCCCCCCTCCACAGAGCCCCACTCATTTACACTCTCTCCCTTCTCTCCCTCCCTCTCCACAGAGCCCCACTCATTACACTCTCTCCCTTTCTCCCTCCCTCTCCACAGAGCCCCACTCATTTACACTCTTCTCCCTTTCTCTCCCTCCCTCTCCACAGAGCACACAGTCTCATTTACACTCTCTCCCTTTCTCTCCCTCCCTCTCCACAAAGCCCCACTCATTTACACTCTCTCCCTTTCTCTCCCTCCGCAGAGTCTGATGGAGGAGGCCGAGGACCTGGAGGAGGAGGTGGAAGGCCTGCAGGAGAGGGCGAACGTTGTCCTGCGCTACCTGCACACCGTCAGCGCCGTCGCCTACGCCACCGCCAAGGAGAATCTGGAGAGGCTGACGAGGAGGCATCCTGAGTGAGTACCCTGTTGGAGATTTTTTTGTTTTTTATTTCTATTTTATTGTTGTTTTTCTTCTCGTTTTTTTTTTTTTTAAGGTCTTGTGGAAGTCTGTGGGGTTTGGGGCGGTCTTATACACACGCGTTATGGTGGTGTGATTTTTTTTTTCTGGTCGATTTCTCTTTTTCTGTCTTCTTCTTCTTGTTTGTCTTCTTTGCTTCCCGGCGTCGATGTGGAAGGAAATCCGATCTTAGTTTCGTCCTGTTTCCGGCCATGAGGGTTATTTCAGTTTCGTTGTGTGGGTGTGCGTGTGTGTATAAGATGCAAATATTATAATGGCCAAATATTATAATGGCCGCTTCATGTTCCATTACTGCTAACTAGATCTACTTATGATAAGATAATGACAGTTAAATATATATAAACTATTTATCTTCTTTGCATATTTGTCAAGAAAAAAAAAATCTCACAGACTTCACAGGGAAGAAGAAAAACACAAAATAAAGGAAACAGATTTATCCTCTTTTTATCAGTGTTATCAATGCAAATAAATAAATGTTGCAATGTTGACGAATATGAGTCATGTCAAGTAAGAATAATGCCAAAAAAAAAATCTGTTTCCCAATACCGACGATTTATTGTTTATTTTCTTCGTTATTGTTCTTCGGGTCATTCCTCGATTCGTTTTTGTTTATCTTGTTCTTCGTAAGATCACAAGGAAGTACTCTTGTTTTTTATCATTAATATCTGCAGCGATACGATACCAACTACGTTTTATATATGAGGAAAACATGGGAAAAAATAATAATATATGAGGAAAAATGGATCTAAAAGAAAGATTTAGGAAGGAAAAACTAAGTTCTAACAAGATCTTGTTCTTCGTAATATAACAAGAGTAATGAATATAAATACTCTCGTTTTTATCATTAATATCTGCAACGATACGATACCACCTACGTTTTATATATGAGGAAAAAAAATGGATATAAAAGAAAGATTAAGGAACTCAAAGAAAGACTTAAAGGAATCAATAAATCAAAGAAACATTTAGGAAGGAATCAATAAATCAAAGAAAATAATAATATATGAGGAAAAATGGATCTAAAAGAAAGATTTAGGAAGGAAACATTCACTCAAGAGCTACATTAACTAACAGAGTTTATTGGTCTTCAGCGTCAGGAAAATCGTTACCTTCGTTACCTCATTTTTTTATTTCCATTATGCATTTCGCTTCTTTTTTCAGGAAACCTCATTTTTTTATTTCCATTATGCATTTCGCTTCTTTTTCGGCGTCAGGGAAATCGTTACCTCATTTTTTTATTCCCATTATGCATTTCGCTTCTTTTTTCCGGCGTTGCATGTGCACGGAGAAGGGGCATGAGGCGTTGGACTCGCGCCATGGGGAAAGCATGGCAGACTTATGACCTACTTCCGCCCACAACAAGGGGAGGGAGGGAGGAGGGAGGGAGTGGAGGGGAGGGGGAGAGGGGAATGGAGGGGAAGGGAGGGAGGGGAAGGAAGGGTGAGGGGAGGGAGGGATAGGGGAAGGGAGGTAGGGATGGGAGGGGGAGGGGATGGGATGGAGAAGTGGATGGGGAGGAAGGAAGGTGAGGAAAGGAAGGGGGAGAGAATTAGAAGGGATGGAGGTTAAGAGTCACGACGTGTACAGTTATTCCTAATGGCTGTCATAACATGTGTTTCAGGTATAAAGGAGATTTCTTTTAGATATAACGAGAGTATTAATGGCTTTCGTAACGTAACGTATCTGCTAATTACCTTGTTTCATTTTAGTATATATATATTTGTGTGTCTGTGTGTGTTTGTGTGTATGTGTGTGTGTGTGTGTGTGTGTGGTGTGTTGTGTGTGTGTGTGTGTGTGTGTGTGTGTGTGTGTGTGTGTGTGTGTGTGTGTATGTATGTATGTATAAGTGTGTGTGAGTGAATGGCACATATTATACACTCACACACATTTCTCGCCGCCATTCCGAAACGGGGAGCGTTGAACCTCCGATAATTGAGGATGTAAGTGGCGCGACCTCGATCAGCTGCAATAAACTAGAGAGAAAATTGGCCCGGCGGTGAAATATGACTCTTTCGTCATCGGTTCATCTTTATTACACACTCTTGTTTTTTGGTTTAGTTGTTTATTTTCTATCCTGGAAGATCGCTGAGACTTGGATAACATAAAAAGAAAATCTTTCATAAGCCACTTCAGTTCGTTTTAAGTAAGTTTATTAATCACCTTGGTAAGATTAGTATATAAATTATACATCATCCAAAAGAATGTTAAGTTGATATGCTTTTGCCGCTGTGTTTGCATAACAATGTTCTATGGTTACGGTAGTGTTACATAGTATATTTAGGATATAGTATGAGGATATCTTCCAATGTATCAGATAAGATTAAATAATCAGATAGTTCTTTATGCCTCATATTAGGTCTCAATACGCTCTTCGGACCATAAGTTCCTTCAGAATAGACGGCGAGGAGAAAAAGGAGTTTAGGCGGTGGTAGTGAAACGC